CCAATTGGTCCAGTGGCGAGAATCTTTGTCTTCTTGACGTTGAGCCTTAGTCCATACTGAAGGCTGCAGTCCTTGACCCTTCACAGCAAGTGCATGAGGTCCTCCTCAGTTTCAGCAAGCAAGATTGTGTCAAGTCACATAGATTAGTGGAATAGAATAGAGAATTCAGAGATCCACCTAAGGTCAGATGATCTTTGAAAAAGAGATGATATTCATTGAGTGGGGAAACAAGTGTCTTTTAGAAATGCTGGTGGCAAAACCTGACATCTGTCTACTGAAAACAAAAATGATGCATAGCTCCCACCATACACAAAACTCTTTTTATTTTGGATCAGGGATGTAGGGATAAAATTTTTTTTAAAAAAGCCACCTATAAAAATGAGAAGGAAAAGAACAAATATAGTATCTTTGGCACAAATAGACATTCAAATATAGGAAAAAATGCATAATCAGTAGAGAATAAAATAGATGAATGAATTCTTTTAAAACGAAAATCTTAGGTGTTTCAAAACCTTTTTTTCCAACAGAGTAAAAAGATAGCCCATAGACTTGGGGGGGGGTGTGTAAATAGTAATGTATCTGATAAGAAGTCTCCGATTTCTAAAATCCATAGACTGCTTCAGTACCTTAATAAGAAAAAGAAAACCCAGTTACAAAGGGGCGGAAGATAAGTCTTCACCAAAGAAGATAGTCAATGAACACAGAAAGTAATGCCCAAAGTACTAGCTATTGGAGAGATGCAGCCAAAACAGTAATTATTATCCTGCCCCATAAACAATAGTAAAATTCAACAAGACAATAAACAACCAGTGTTAGCAAGGATGCAAGGAGATTGGAACTCTCATGCATTGCTAGTGAGATTTTAAAATAATTTAACCAATGGATGACCGTCTGATATTTTCTCAAAATGTTGTGGGAGAAAAACCAAAACCGTTTGATCCATATTCCATTACTGGGCACATACCCTAAAGAACTTGGAGCTGAGACTCAAACAAATGTATTTTGTTGTTAGGTGCTGTTGAGTCGAGTATGGCTTATAGAGACCCTGTGCCATCTTTCAAAAATATTTGAATCATTTTCCATCCTGAGCCATCTTTACACTTCCTGACACACAAGACCCTATTGTAGTAGTCATCACATCAGTCCACTTGGTTGAGGGTCTTTCTCTCTTTCGCTGACTCTCCACCCTTCTCAGCATCATGTCCCTTTCCAAGGAATAGCCTCTCCTAGCAACTTGCCCCAAATATGTGAGGCAAAGCCTCATTCTTGCCTCGAAAGAGCACTCTGGCTGCACCCTCTCCAACACATATTTGTTTTCTTGGCCGTCCATGAGTGCTCTTTTCCAGCACCACAGCATAAAGGTATCAATTCTTTTTCTGTCATCCTTATTAATTGTCCAGCTCTCAGATGCATAGCAAATAATTGCAAAGACTATGGCTTAGATACGACATACCTTAGTCCTCAAAATGACATCATTACTCTTCAATAATTTTGAGAGTTGCCTAACTGCAGATTTTCCCACTGCAGTGCATATCCTTATTTTTTGACTGCTGGTACCAAGAGTGTTCATTGTGGATCCAAGCAAGATGAAGCTGTTTACAGCTTCAATCTCCTCTCCATCCATCATGACACTGCCTGCCTATTGGTCCAGTGAGAAGAATCTTTATTTTCTTGACGGTAAGATGCAGTCCAAACCGAAGGCTGCATTCCTTGATCTTCTGCAATAAGTTATTCAAATCTTCCTCACTTCAAGCAAGGTTGTGTCATTTGTATGTGTTATACAAATCTTAGGTTATTGATGCGTCTCCCTCTAATCCTGATGTCACACTCTTCTTCATAGAGTTCAGTTTCTCAGACAATTTGCTCAGTATACAGGTTGAATAGGTAAGGAAAGAGAAAACATATGTATACCTGTGTTTGTTCCAACATTATTTACAATAGTAAGTTTGTGGAATATCCCCAAGAAACCATCAACATATAAAAAAAAGAGAAACGGTGGTACATTAACATGATAGAATACTATACAGCATTTATAAAACATTCAGTGAAGAATAGGTGAAACACTACACATATAAAAAAATCTAGAGGACATTATGCTAGGTGAAATAACTCGTCATAAAAGGACAAATATTGTATAAGGTCACTATTATAAAAATAGAATTATTATGAGAGAGACACAGAGAGTAGAAATAGATTAGATAGATAGTGAACACTGTTGGAAGGGAAAATCAACCTAAAATTAATGGGCAATCAGGCAATATGAATATTGTAACTAACTATCTCGAATAGGATATGCTAACTGATAAAATTAGGGAGAGGGGGAGAATGAGAGAAGGGATAAAAAGTATAAGGAAAGATTTACCCACAGAAAGAAGCAGTTGTGTGGGATTGACAGGCCAAGATAGGAGGGGAAGGTGAGGGAGCAGAGATTCATAAATCAATGGCTAAAGTGGAGGGAAAGGGAGAGTACAGGGATGTTTTTCAGTAGGATTTTGAAAATAATGACTTTTTAATAACAATAACAATTGTTATTGTTATAAAATGAAATGTATGTGAGTGAATGAATGAAAACCAGTAAAAAAAGTATATGGTTATTGGGCAGAGACTGGAGAGAGCAAGGAATGATTGGATACATAATGAACACTTTATTGGAGCAGGGGAAGAGGAGGCCAATCTCAAACGAATGGAGGATTGGACACTTAAGTGTATTGCAGTCTGGAAAAGGCCATGCATAACTAATTAAATAGAATGTATGGGAGAGGAAACTAAGGAAAGGTTTACATAGGGATAAGAAAGGAAGGAGAGGCGGAGCCGGGAAGCTGCAGGGGCTGAGCTGCAGTTGCCGCTGCCGCCCGCTCCCCTCAGCCGCCGCTGAGCCGCGCCCGAATCCGGCCAACGAGGCTGCACACGCAGCCAGGAGCCCACGAGCCCGCCGCCCTCCGAGGGCGCCCCCGACCTCGCCATGGTGAAGGTGACATTCAACTCGGCCCTCGCCCAGAAGGAGGCCAAGAGCGGCGAGGAGGCGCTCATCATGCCCCCCGATGCCGTGACGGTGGACTGCAAGAACCCGGATGAAGTGGTACCAGTTGGCCAGAGAAGAGCCTGGTGCTGGTGCATGTGCTTTGGACTGGCGTTTATGCTTGCTGGTGTCATTCTGGGAGGTGCATACCTGTACAAGTACTTTGCTCTTCAACCAGATGACGTGTACTACTGTGGGATCAAGTACATCAAAGACGATGTCGTCTTAAATGAGGCTTCCCCTGATGCCCCGGCTGCTCACTACCAAACCATTGAGGAAAACATCAAGATCTTTGAAGAAGAGGAGGTGGAGTTCATCAGTGTACCTGTCCCAGAGTTTGCAGATAGTGACCCTGCCAACATTGTTCCTGACTTTAACAAGAAACTCACAGCTTACTTGGATCTGAACCTGGATAAGTGCTATGTGATTCCTCTGAATACTTCCATTGTCATGCCACCCAGAAGTCTGTTGGAGTTATTCGTTAACATCAGGGCTGGGACCTATCTGCCTCAGTCCTATCTGATTCACGAACACATGGTTATCACCATGACAATGTCGACCACTTGGGATTCTTTATTTATCGACTCTGCCATGACAAAGAAACATACAGACTGCAGCGCAGAGACACTATTAGAGGTTTGCAGAAGCGTGAAGTCAGCAATTGTGCCACAATTCGGCATTTTGAAAACAAATTTGTTGTGGAGACTTTAATTTGTTCTTGAGGAGTCAAGAAGACACTCTAAGGATTTAATTCAACAGCATAACCCCATTCTTTGTATTTTGTGCAGTGATTATTTTTTAAAATCTTTCATGTAAGTAGCAAACAGGGCTTGCTATCTTTTCATCTCATTAATTCAATTAAAGCCATTATCTTTTAAATTTAAAAAAAAAGGAAGGAGAGGGAGCTGAGATTAGCAGATAGATGCATGGAATAAAGGGAAAGGGAGGGTATGGGAAGGATTTGATAAGACACTATAAATAATGGCATGGATCAATTGCAGTTAATGCTACAGAATAAAATATATATGAGTGATTAAATGAAAAGAAATTGAATACTCATGCCTAGTGGCAAGGAGCTGCAACTACAATCCCAGAGGTGCACGGATCAAATCCACCAGATGCTCTGCCGGGGAAGGAGGGACAATCTTCTCCTGTACCAGTCAGATCTGATTTGACGGTACACTCACACACACTCACACACTCATGACATACCTTCTAGTATGTTAGTAATATTATAAGACACCTCAGTACCATAAACTGACAGACTGGATGATGAATTGGAAATGGTTTATTTTCCCTCAACTAGGAGATACTAAGTTGCTGCACCATAATACTTAGCAAGATCATTTTTAAATTGGTTTTCAAATTTTTTTCCATAGTGAGTTCTCTCTTTTTTTTTTCATTTTTGAGAAACATATATGAAAATGTTTACAGTGTTTATATTTGCAATTGTATGGTTACATAGAAGATTTTTTCATGTAATTATAAGTTGATGTCGTGAAGGTCAAAGGAAAAAATAATAATAATTTTCTATTGGGATGTTGGGAACTATTTCAGGAATAGCGTTATTGTACCTCCAGTTGTACCGGGTCACATATGATCAAACCTATCTATTCCGATCCTTGGATTATGTGAAGAGGACGCTTCGGAATTTGAATGGCCGCAGGATCACCTTCCTCTGTGGAGATGCTGGGCCCCTTGCTGTTGGAGCTGTAGTCTACCATAAACTGAAAAATGACTGTGAGTCCCAGGAATGCATTGCAAAGTGAGTTTTGAATAATTGTATTTTCTCCAAATTCTAAATTGACGCTGTTTCTTTAAAAAGATATATTCAGAATAAATGTATCAACAGTTGCAAGCAGGCCTAAGAAGTGGTATGTATGTTGTTTTAAGTATAATAATGGGATCTCTGCTCCTTTTCTAAGCATATGTTTGCCTAATAGTTTTCAGAAATAAATATGTTTCCTTGAGTTACTTTAATAGTTTTGCTTGCTTCCCTTCAATGCATGGAAAGTAGCTTATATGCTAATTCAGACCCTTAGACTCAGTTTTTCAGTAACTGATAAGATAAAATAGAAGTTTACATTGCACCTGTTAGTTTATAGTCCTTCCTAATAAGGTAAAATGAGGACTCACTTTCAGGATCTGAAAAAGAATCTAGTACATTTTAGTTAATGTTTGTTGAAAGACACAACAACTCAAGCTAATGCCCAAGTATTGACTGCATTTTAGTAAAATGTCAATTTAATTAGATTTAAAAATCATTATTTTTCTCATTCTAGATTTAAAAATGGAATGTCTCCTATTATACGATATATGTGTAAAGGTAGAAATGTTTTGTTTTTAATTTTGACATTTGCAAAAATTAGTGAAGTAGAAAATAGTTAGGCTTTATCTTATTTTTCAATAGACTTATCTCTTACAGTTCTAAGTTAGTTCCTATTTTAAGAATGGGTATTTTAGGCATGCTTTGAGAAAACAGAATTCTCTTGTTTGTCAGACTTTTGCAGCTCCAGAGAAGCATTGTGTGCAGAGAGATAGATCTCCCGGATGAGCTGCTCTATGGCCGTGCAGGTTACCTGTATGCCTTACTGTACCTGAACACAGAGATTGGCCCAGGCACCGTGTGTGAGTCAGTCATTAAAGAGGTACAGTGGCATTAACTGACAGTTGTTGGCGTATTTTTTCATCTGTCCCTTACTAACTTGCCACCTGTAGAATTCTTTTCATGACAGGGCGTGGCATCTAAGCAGGATGAATTATTTAAAAGCGTCTCATAAAGATTTTAAAAATAGCTCATCTTTGTCTTTTTAGGAAATATTTTAAAATTCATTGCTTTTTCTTCACCCTGTATTGGTTTAGCTGTTTTCGAAGGAACCAAGTAATACCAGCTTCAGAGAGATAATATCTATTACATAAGTTATTCAAAATGATAGATAGTTCAGGCAAATATGGCCAGGAACTATGACCATATGACCTTGGATCTATACCACCTGAATTTAAAAATCATCCCAAGAATAGATTTGAGGCACTGTACACTAATTATTGAGACCAGATGAGTTGTGGGATGACATCAAAGATACCCATGAAGAGAATAATTAGAAAGTCATTACGAGAGGTTATTGCAAAGACAAAAGAAGAAAAAGAAACCAAAATGGTATCAGAAGAGACTCTGAAAAGCACTAGAGCATTGAGACCCCTAAACAAAGGAAAAAGATGGTGAAGTAATAGAGATCAACGGAAGATTTCAAAGAGTAGTTCAAGCAAAGTATTATAATAGCATGTGCAAAGAGCTGAAGTTTGAACTTAAAAAGAAAACTTGCTTGGCATTTCTCATGTTGAAAGAACTGAAAAACAAAGCTTCAAATTACAATATTGAGACATGGCTTAAATAATGAGGAAAGGCTTAAATTCTCTAGGAAGCATTAAAAAAAGATGGACGAAGTCTGTTTAGAGAATGCAGCAATCAGGAGAACCTGGTCTCTAGATACACTGTGGACCATCAAGGACAATTAACAAACTTTAGGAGAGGCAGGATGCACACAGGAAAGATTCCCACCAGTATGCATTAAACCTGAGAGGGTAGGTACATAGAGGTACCAGGAACTAACCCCCACTCCTGAAGAGAGAATGCATCAGTCAAGGGAACCCAGTCATCTGCCACAGCATGGACCACAGAGGACAATAATAGACTCTAGGAGAGGAAGTCCACTGTAGGAGAGACAGTCCACACTCAGGTGAGATTCCTGCAGGATAGTACTATAGACCAGAGAGAATTTGAACTACTTTAGAAAAGGCGAGCTTTCCTGCTGCACAAGACCAGAAAGGACCTCTAGTGGAGCGAATCACCCTCCTCCATAAAGGGAATACTTTAAGTTTGCAACTGATTAATAACATCACAAAGATTAAAAAAAAACACCCCAAAACTGTCAACAACCCATGCAGACACAGTAGAAATGGCCTCACTCATACCAAGAAAAACTTCACATGTCAAGGAAACAGCAGACAACTTAAAACACTATGAAAAATGAAAGAATCCTTCTCCTAAAAAAGCAGGTCATATTGCATACCGAATGAATACCCCAAAGACAGGGAGGCAGAAGAAATATACCCACATGAAGTTGTATGAACAGTTCCTGAAGAAGTTAAAAATATTGGAAGAAAGAATTGGAGCCATAATAAAGTGAATACCCCACAGACAAGAAACCAGAAGAAATAAATCAACATGGTGGAACTTGTGCAACTACTTAAGAAACTTCAAAAGATGGAATAAAGAATTGAAAAAAGCTAGTTAAAAAGCTAGAAGAAATGTAAAAATTAACACAAAATAGAAAGGGTTCAGTCAATACAGCACTGGAATTAACAGAAATGCATGAAAATACAGTCTCAAGTATCAAGACCAGAATTGCAGAAGTTTGCAACATGCTGAAGGGACAAAACTACGGAACAGATGAGATCAAACAGAGAGAACTTTACTAGAACATACTATGAGAAACTACTAGAAACATGCTAGGGAACATACTAGAAGTAAAAATAGGAGAGGGAAAGAAGATTATGAAAACATTAGAACCATGAGGAATAGCATCAAAAGGAACAACATACATATGATCGATTCCACAGCAGGAGTGGAGCAGGGAAAGCACTGAGAAAATTGTGGAAGAGGCACTAGAAGAAAACTTCCCAGATATCATGAAGTTCCAGGAAATCCACATTCAAGAATGTCAGCAAACTCCAAAAAGACTAGACCCCAAAGAAAAACATTAAGACCTATCATAGTCAAATTCTCTAAAATATAAAGATAAAATTCTAAAAATAGTACAAGGAAAACAAATGGTCACCTACGAAGGTTAACCAGTTAGATTAAGTTCTGATCTCAGCAGAAACCATGCAAGCAAGAAGATAATGAGATGGCATATACAGAAGGCTTAAAGTAAATAATTATAAGCTGAGGCACTATTGCCCAGCAAAGTTGTCCATCAAATATGAAGGTAACATTAGGTCATTTGCAGAAAAGTGGAATTTAAGGAATTATTAGAATATGTTGTTGTTGTTGTTAAGGCTTTCATAATAGCAACCCTATGATTAGAATATATAGCTACATAAAAATAGATACAATATAAAATTATTAGAGTAAGTAGCTTTTCCCCCATATGGGTTACATTTCAACATCAAAAAAACCAAAATCCTTACCACTGAGCCAATGGACAACATCATACTAGATGGAGAAAAGATTGAAATTATCTATGACTTCATTTTACTTGGATCTGTAATCAATACCCTTGATACCAATAGTCAGATCAGGAGGCGTATAGCATGGGGGAAGTCTGCGGTCAGGGACTTCACTAAAGTCCTACAGAGCAATGATATCGTTTAAAGTCTAAGATGTGTCTGATTAAAACCTTGGCCATTCCAGTCACTGGCTGTGCATCTGAGAGCTGGACCATGAATAATAATGACAGGAGAAAAATCATTGCCTTTAAGTTGTGATGCTGGAGAGAAATGTTGAATATACCATGAATTGCCAAACAAATATGTCTTGAAGAAAGTGCAACCAGCGTGCTGGGGTGCAAGTAGCGATGGTGAAGCATTATCTCATATACCTTGGGCATATTGTTAATAGAGGCTATTCCTTGGAGAAGGCCTTGATGCTTGGGAAGGTGGAGGGTCAGAAAAAGAGAGACCCAAGCCAATGTGATGGATGGATACAGTTTTCTGCAGCAATGGGGTCGAGTGTTTCAGGAATTATAAGAATGTTGCAGTATACGCCAGAGTTCATATCTGTTGTTCAAATGGTTGCCTATATTGTCATGCATACTTGACTCCATAGCACTTAACAACAGCACAACAAATAAAAAGAAATAGAGAAAGAAGATTATTAGCAGCTTTGTATTTAAGGATACAACTTGGAATCCGTCCATATTACTTCTGATCATGGTCCATTGTAATAATGTAGTTAAAAGGCTCTATCTGGGTAGTTCTAGCTCGCATGTCAGATGGCTAACTAAAACCTGAAAGTTACCGTTGTTGTATACCATCAAGTCAGAACGGATTCATAACTATAGTGAGTTTTCAGTGACAGTAAATCACATTGGACAGTGTTGTCCATCTTTTTCTCCTGGAGCAGCTGGTAGTTCAAACTCCATTCCTTTAGAGATAGCAGTGTAATTCCTTACCACTAGAACACCAGAACACCTTAGGAAAAGCAAAAACTCCCCACACCAAACCTGTGTGTAGTATTACCAAAAGGATAAAAAGTAGATGAACATAAGGAAGCAATTTTCCTAATCTGTCCCTGCCACACAACCACTTCTGACAAGATGGTCCCCTAATCTTTTTCCTGCCACAACACACCACATATCAGAATCTTTTTTCAATAAAAACTCCAGCCTTTCCTCAGAAGTGTGCTTTCCATTCTAGTAGGGAAAACATTGCAGTTGAAAAATAACTAATTCAGAACACTCTCTGTCATCATACAGACTAACGTAAAGACACACTTTAGAATAAGATTGTCTTGAAGTCTTATAAACTGTTTATAAACTTCTGATTTCTGGGTAAGATTATTTAATATATTTTTCTACTCTTTTGACAAAATAAGGACCTCTCGTGGCATTGTAACCAAGGGGCTGGCCTAAAGGAAAAAGATGGGCAGTTTATTCTTGGTAAGATTTGCAGCCTGGAAAACATGATGGAGAGTCACTGTAAGATGACTTCAACTCTATGAATATTTGGGGGTGGGAGAGAAAGAAAGAGAGGCATATTTTTAGTATTAGAGTATGGCAATATGCATGTAACATATTAATGTTTATGCTGTCTTACTATTTCTGTAGGTAGTTGATGCTATTCTTGAATCGGGTAAGACTCTGTCAAGAGAAGAGAGAAAAGCTGAACGCTGCCCACTATTATATCAATGGCACAGGAAGCAGTATGTTGGGGCAGCCCATGGTATGGCTGGAATCTACTACATGTTAATGCAGGTAAGTAAAAGTATTCTGATATACGAATAAAGTGACTACATTGTAATATCTAAGTTGCATATGAAGTGGGAAATGAAATTCTTAATAAAAGCCAACCAGGCGGAAATTAAATAAGACGTCTTTCTGAGTCAGAAATGTTGGAATTCTACTTCATGAAATCAAAGTGGTGAACTGAGAACATTTTTTTTTAAATTTTTATTTTATTTGTGTGTGTGTGCATGTACCGTCAAATCAGATCTGACTGGTACAGGAGGAGATTGTCCCTCCTTTCCCAGCAGAACATCTGGTGGATTCGAACCGTGCTCCTCTGGAATTGCAGTGCAGCTTCTTGCCACTAGGCCACCCGAGCTCCCCCTGAGAACATATTTGTATGCAACTTTGTACTGTATTTTTCTTCTGTTACCTCCTGCCAAATGAAGTGGAAATTCTTTTTATTAGAGAAAAACCTTTAAGGGAGCAGAAAGGACTTCCAGAATCTAGGCTAAGACAGACAATTTTTATATGCAGATGCCCCCAACATGCTACCACTTGTGTTCTAAAATTTTAACTAATTTATGGCCATGGTTATTATCTTGTCCCCCATTCATTTCTGCTATCTACAGAATTGTACTGACTCCTCTGTTAAGACTGTCAGAGCACCCTCTGAGCTACACTTCACTGGTATGGGTTATGGGTTCCCTCCTGGCTTAGAACACAGCCTACTTCCTGCTTTTTTGGTTTTTGTTTGTTTGTTTGTTTTCAGTTAGACCTTTCTTTGTAGTAATATAGTCATAGAAAAGTGGTTAATTAATTTACTCAAAGTCAACGAACATAGACCTTGACTAAAGAGTAAAACAGTCTCTCAGTTATTAAGGTCTGACTGATGTACAACCCCTAGTTCTGAACCAACTCCTGTAAAGTATGTGATACAAAAATTCAAGGTGTATATATTCGTTCATAATAAAGAAAAAATGAGTGCTACTTTTTGACACACATCAGAATATTATATTATAGTTTTAAAGATGTCTTAGTATATCTGGAACTATTTCCTTAATGCTTTTTGTGCATAGAAAGGCATACTGTATCCTAAGACATACAGATTAACAGACATTAGATAATGAACAATACTTAACTCTTCTAATATATGCCATTAGAATATATACCATTTGGAAGAAGGAGGGGCATCGACTTCCATAATAGCTTGCCTCCGAAAACCCTATGAGCCTGGAGAGAGGATGAGAGACACCCAAGCGTTGAGGATTCTCCTTCATAGGGTCGCTATGAGTCACCTGCGACTCGACGGCACTTAACAACAACAACAATATATACCATGCTTGGAAAGACAGAGGGTCAACGAAGGACAGGAATACCCTCAACCAGGTAGATAGACGCAGTGACTGCTGCAGTGTGCGTTAGTGTGTCAGAAAGTGTGAGTTTGGCACAGGACAGGACAGGGTTCAGATCTGTTGTTCATAAGATTGCTATGAGTTGTACTCTATTTGATGGCATCTAACAACAACAACAATTTAAATTAAATAAAGATAGCTTTAAGAACAGAAGTTATTAATAATCTAGGGATGGCATATATTTCTTTTTTAAAATTTTATTTCCGCTTTTACTTCATATATACACACTGTATCTTGCTAATATTCACTAGAGGAAAATAGGAATTCATAGCTACACAAGATAAGCATTCTTCTAACTAGTTGTCTTGTTTATCATTGTAGTAATCATTCCTGCATTTTAATTTGTGGACTTTATTTTTAAATTCCAGGCATGCTTTTTTTTTTTAATTTCTGTTTTCTTGACTATGCAAAGGCATTTGACAGTGCAAGCATGCATTTTTATGGTTAGTAAACTTTCATACTTCATTTTATAAAAGATTATGTTATTTGGACAATCAGAAGGTTTATGCTCCATTTTCTGAGAAAAAATGTTTTAACTCTGGCTTGGGAAAGATTTATTTTTTATTATTTATCTTTCCTTTATATATCTCAAAGAAGAGCATTATCTTTTAGAATCGCACTAGTAAAATAGTACCCTAGCTTAGATTCACAGATTTCTTAGATTCTTTTCCTTCCCTAGCACTCAGTGTCCTTATCTAGAATGAACAAACATCGAGGTCTTCACGGTGCAGTTTTATTTGGAAATTTATTGGCACAACACACAAATTTAAAAAATATAATTTAATTAAAACTGTGTTTTCATGATGGCAGAATAAAGACAATTTTCTCTTCTCTTGAAAACCCATCTTAAAAAAAATAAGGAAAACAAAACAGACATCTAAACTCTTGTATGAAACTGGTAGACATCAGAAATTCAGGACTATACTTGTGAAGACTGAAGGCATTTACAAGAATGGCAAGTAACCCAACAGGACAAAAGGCTGCAAGCAGCAAGCCAGATTGTCCTATAAATCTCCAAAATTCCAGAATATAAAGCATTAAGTGCTGTAGAAATGGCATAAAATATGTATTTATGTGGGAATGAGGTCTAGTCAGCAGGAGAACTTCTTTGAGAATTATTATGAGGAACATTTGAATCTCTGTCTGTAGCCCTACACAGCACTGTGAGATGACTATTCCTCTCTTTCAACCCTGACTAGAGACTAAGAAAAGCTGATTTGGAAGAATTGAATTAATCTTTTAACTCCAGAAAACCAAGCATGGAGGAGAATTTAAGCAAAGCATAGACTTAAGAGCAAGGGATTTGAGTGAACGCTCCCACAGAGCCTCACTCTATCCCTCTCTCTTAGCGCTGGAATGTATGTGCGAAACCTACTCTTCTCATCCCAAGGAGCTATGGTAGCCTAGTAGTAAGGAGCTGAACTGCCAACCTAGAGGGATACAGTTGAAACTCACCAGTTGCTTTGCAGGAGAAAGATGAGTAGTCTTTTCTTGTGTGATTTACTCCATATGAAGACCACCCAGAGAGTCAGCTATGAGTCATTTCTGGCTTGCTGATACATAGCGATAACCACAATGTGCCTCCTAGTTTAAGTAGTGAAATATCTTATTTTGGAAAAGCAACTAGACAAAAATTTTATGTACATAGGCATTTGAAAATTCTGAGAAATTGAGCTTTCTGGTCATCCAGTATCCTTAAGTGCGATCCACTGTGAGACAAGCCTCATTTGTACAGAGCTCTAGAAAAATAATAAAACAGAGATAACACAGGAAGCAATAGAAAAGACCAAAGATAAAAGCAAGTATTGTATCCAGGAAATAGAACTATTGGGGGAATTAAGAAAGAGCTCTTTAAATTTAAAGAAGTAACAAAGATTCTCACCACTGGGCCAATTGGCAGCATCAGTATGGATGGTGAAGAGATTGAGATAGTTAACAATTTTAGTTTGCTTGGCTCCACAGTCAAC